TTTGTCAGAGAGAGAGAGACAGAGCACAAGCTGGGGGCGGGGGGGGGCACAGAGGGAGAGGCCGAGGGAGAAGCAGACTCCCCACTGAGCAGGGAGCCCGACGCCGGACTTGATCCCAGGACTCTGAGATCGTGACCTGAGCCCAAGGCAGACCCTTCACCGACTGAGCCCCCCAGGCGCCCCTGTTAATGTTTTGATGTATTTTGCTTCTCCCGTCAGCCCTATAAAGGAGGCAGTAGTTTTGCAGAACAGAAAATGGAGGCTCAGAGAGTCACCTGGGGTCACAGAACTAGCAAGTGGTAGCAAGCTCCTTGTTCCAAAGTATGTTCCTTATCCGGGGTCCCCCTGCGTCACGGGGTGAGCATTCAGAACCATGTGCGACGGGGGAATGGCCTGGGTTTCTGGAGGTGGGTGCAGAAAGCTCAGGACTTGGCTCTGGAGGACTTCTTGGAAATAGAGCAACCACATTTAGGAACAAGAGACCCACCTGAAGGGCCCCCCTGGGTTCCCACACCAGAACCCTGGGAAGACGAGGATGCGCACCTGCTTCTTCGCTGAGGTGAGCCTCTTTGCTCTCCATGGTAACCAGGAAGAGCTAGGGTCACCTTTATGCTTTCACGGCTGCTCGTCTGGAGTCCACTGGGCCCCCCACCACAAGTACGGGACTGACGGAACGGAGGGGGCAACACCCATGCGTTTTCAGTGCTGCTTAGAGGATGCCGATGTGCAGCCAGGGTTAGAACTAGTGTCCTAAACTCCAAGTTTATGTGGGAGACTCCCAGAACCTGATTTGTAGAGATCCTTCTCAGGGAGAGGGCTGTTGGCTGCTCCTCACACCTCTTTTCTACCACTGGTCCTGCAAGACTGGGGCAGGTCTCCCTCTGAGAGGCCTGGCCTTAGTCCAGTCCTGCCCCTCTTGGGCCACAAGGCAGAGGAGGGGGTCCGCTGACTCGTCTGGACTTCTCGGAGTCGGTCCAGTGGGTTCCAGCACAGCTCAAGGGCGCACCTGTCCCAGAGAATGCGGTGCTGGCCAGGCTGCAGGACGACAATGGGTGAGACAGAGACTGTGGGCCCAGCTGAACTTGCGGAAAGCAGTCCAGCCTGGAACGTGGTCTTCTTTCCTTGGAAGTCACCAGAATCTAGCCTCAGGGAGGGATGCCTTAGCCGGAGACATCTGCCTTCCTGTTGGATGCAGGGTTAGCCAGAACACCCCTATTCGTGCGGACTTACCCTAACTCAGGACTGCTGACATTTTGCATTTTGTAAACCTCTGCTAAATCTGGTACTTCGTACTCCTGGTAATTCATTTTCTCCTAATGACCAACCATTCACCAAAGAAGAATCCCAAAGGCTCTCAGCTCTATTCTGGGAACAAAGCCAAACCACCAATGAAGTCCAGTTAAAACTGAGTTTTGAATTGTCTGTCCTGTTTTTGCACAGGTAGCCAGAGGGGGGCCAATCCCGCATCCCCCTACCCCCCCGCTCTCCCTCTGCTGAGGCACAGGAAGAAGGGGGAAGTTCAGTGGGTCAATGATGCTTCTACATAGGGGCACTGAGGGAAGAGGCCCAGTCCGCTGATAGCGGAGCTATCCGGGGCGTGGAGAGGATGAACAGAGGGCTGGGCCTCCTGTGTGCAGGCCACTGGAGCTCCTGGTTCGCACACCCCATGCTAGATCTGGACACAAAAATGGGCACAAGGCTCTGCCTTCCACAGGAAGCCCAGAAGGGGAGGGCGGAAAAGCTGACAAGTAAAAGGAGGTAGGACACAGACAAGGACACGACACCTTCAGAGGGGGGACTAGAGGTGGGGCTGCCACCGGAGGCCGTCCTGAGACAGGTGACTGCCGGAGTCGGCCAGCACCAGGGACAAGTTGGAGCCCCAGGCGGACAACAGCAGAAGTGAAACCACCTCCGCAGGGTGGGTGCTGTGGGGTGAGGGGCGGAGGTCGGCAAAACCAGGATCGACATCAGCTGGCTCGCCTCTGTGGTCCTGGCTCATCCGGGCCCGTAAAGCCGCACTCTGATGTAATTTGGCTGAAGTCTTAGGAACTCAGGATAAGTTTACAGCCAAAATCATTTTTTTAATTTCTGACTCAGAAAAAAAAGTTTTTTGCTTGTTTTTTTTTTTTAAATTGGGCGAATTACATCTGAGGAGCTGGGGAGAACACCCTATCAGGCTGACATTGGTACAGAATTCTCAACACCAGCCTCCCCGTGTGTCAGTAAATCTAAGATAAGGGACACCTGAGTGGCTCAGTCGCTGAAGCGTCTGCCTTCGGCTCAGGTCATGGTCCCGGAAGCCCGAGATCGAGCCCCGCATCGGGCTCCCTGCTCAGCGGGAAGTCCGCCTCTCCCTCTGCCCCTCACCCTGCTCGTGCTCTCTCTCTCAAATAAATAAATTTTTAAAAAACTTAAATAAATAAATCTAAGATAACATTGATTAGAAGACATTGCTTTGTGTACCGTTAAGAGAAAGGGCTGCCAATTAATTTTAAGATAGCACTGATTACAAGGTGAATGCTGTTTGGCATGCTGAAATGTCTGAGACTGACGCAGAAGGCAGTCTTGCTTGCTTGAGCCTCTTGCGCGTGCAGACCGGTGCACCCAGCTGGTGCACGCACCACTGAGCATGTGCGCATGGGGGCGGGGCAAGGCGCAGGGAAGTTGAGTGACTTTGCTCAAGGGCGACATCATTAGCAGGAAGCAATGTCCAGGCCGGGTGTCCCACCGGCCGAGAACAACTTCTGCTGTCCCGGGACAGGGGCAGGCTCTCTTGTACCTGGGCTCAGACTCCCGGGCGCATTTACTCCATCACTGACAGGGTTCACGCCCACCAAAGTACCTGGGTCCCCGGGCAGTAGCATGTCCACCTTCGGTCTCTGGGTGGCTCTCCGCCTCACTAAGCTCGGCCCCATGGGCACGAGGGCCCAGTAGCACCAGGGCCCCAGGGCCCCTGATGTCTTCAGGCCCGAGGCAGGGCCCCTCAGGCTGTGGGGACCCCAGGACCGGGCAGGACAAACTCATGCTTAGCGTTTGGAGCTCCAGGGTCTGGCCCCAGGCAAAACCCAGGTTTCTGGAAGTTGGAATTGCAAGAGCAGCTGACTTCAGGGTCTGGAGGAGAAGCCCTGGTGGGACCTAACATCGCTCAAAACAGGATGAGGGGAACGGCGTGACTGACGCTCTCCGAGGCTCCAGCGCTATGTCTCCAGTCCCTGCTCCCGAGGGGCGCTGGTCTCACACTGCCCAGACAGCTCCGGGCTCGGTTAGACGGCGAGTCCCACCACCACCACCGGGGTCCTGCCCAGGGCACCCTCCTGCTCAGATCGTTACGCCCAGTCTTTAGACTGGTCTGTTTGCGAAAGTTTAAACGCTTTCAGCAACTGTTGGATGCAATTTCACATACGGTGATTTTCCCGATTACTAAGCAGTTAATCTATTTTGGATCCTGCATCCTTTTTTTTTTTTTTTTTAAAGATTTTATTTATTTATTTGAGAGAGAGAATGAGATAGAGAGAGAGAGCATGAGACGGGGAAGGGTCAGAGAGAGAAGCAGACTCCCCGCTGAGCAGGGAGCCCGATGCGGTACTCGATCCCGGGACTCCAGGATCATGACCTGAGCCGAAGGCAGTCGCTTAACCAACTGAGCCACCCAGGCGCCCGGATCCTGCATCCTTTTGAAAGTCTGTCAAACTCTTTCCCCAGGGGAAAAAAAAAAAAAAAGCACGCACCTAATTTTCTGGAATTCAATGATTAAACCTTATCTTTGGGCGATTGTCAGAGACACTAGGGATAACTGCCTTGGTTCAGATTCAAGAAGAGCTCGAATCAGTTTGTAAGGGAATTGATATTCAACAATTCGAAGGGAGCTTTCCCTGAGCTCTGGAGCCATGGGTATCCCGGCTGATATTCCTACAGTGCTGGAGAAGCAACCGGGTAGCCCCACGGTGCTGCGGGAAGGAAGGAAGGAGAGGCTTTGGTATTTCCAGGTGAACCAACATCTTAAGATTTGTGTTATTTAAGGATCCCGAAGAGATGAGTTTCTAGTGCCTGAGGGTTAGACGTTCTTTCTACGTCTCAGAAGGGAAAAGGTTTTCCTCAATTTATCAGCCAGAGGTCAGGTTTTCTGAGTCCCGGTACTGCTTTCAGCCCCCATCTTGTGCATCCAGAGCCAGGCTCCCAGGATGCAGGAGCAACGCTGAATATCAGGGGCACCTCAGCTGTAGCAGCCTGGGGCTCCAGGAAAGGGGCCCAGGGGCTTGCGGTTCAAGAAAGGGTTCCCATCCAGAGGACTGCCTTGCCGAGTCCGGCAAGAGGGGGACAAGGAACACCGACGGGCTTCTAGTCACCACGGGGCAGGGAGGGAGGGCCCGGTTTCCCCAAAGTCACAACATACAGAGGGAAGGAGCCCCCAAGGCCTAAGCAGCAGGTTCCCAGAGCTCAAAGAGCTGGGGTTGGGTCCCAGGGACCCCAGGGTGCCCCCGGCCGCAGTGGAGGACCAGCGCAGGCCAGGATTCTGTCACAGCATCCACAGCGGGGGAGCTCACACGTGGCCAGTGGCCACAGATGCCGTCAGGGAGGGAGCCTGGCCCCACAGGCCTGAAGTGAGATGCAGGGCACGCCAGGGTCCGGCTGGGGTTAGCCTGGCAGCTGTGGGGGTCTGGGGATGAGCCGTGGGCCAGAGCCTGCCCATCAGCCCCCACCCCACCGAGCTGTGTGGGCGGGGGCTTCACTGCTCTAGGCCTCCCTTCTGGTGGCAATGGGATGGCCACGGTCATGCCCCGCATGACTGCGAAGACACCGAGTCCCGCTCCCAGGAACAGCCTGCAGGGCAGAGCTCTGCTTAAAGACGGGGGACAGTGGGGCATTTGTGAGACGCTTCTCTTGGGCGTCCGCCATTCCTGACCTTCAGTCCTCAGACACTGATCCTCTTTGAGGAAAGAGGAAAATCAAGGCAGAGAGGAACCTGCCTGTCACCGTCATTTGCACATTCATTCATTCCATTCTTTTAACAAACATTTATTAAGTGACTACAGTGCGCCAGGCCCTGAGCCAGGCCCCGGGGGACAGAGCCAGGTCACACACAACCCTCCCTTCAAGGAGGTCAGTCTGGGGCGGGGCAGACGCGGGAGCAGGGCAGGAGGGATGCGCTGGGCTGAGGGTGGTGGAGGTGTAAACAGACGGCTGTGGGGGGACGGTGTAAACAGACGGCTGTGCGGGGGACAGGGCAGTCGAACCGGCAGGACAGGGTCGCCGGAGACCTGCCCCCCGCGTCCTCGGGGCAGCGTCCCGGCTGCGCTCGGGGGGCCCAGAGAGGGAGCCCGGACACAGAGTGGATCACCGCGGAGTCCCCGCGCCGCCCCCCAGGGCCACTCTGCTCCTGAGAGCATCTCCGACCTGGTCTGCGCGGTCACCTCCTTTCTCAGCACTGGGCAGGAAACCCCAGGCCCCCTGGCTTTCGCTTTCTCCCTTCTCACACCGGTCAGCCGCCAGCCCCGCTCAGGCGCCGGGCTCGGGCCCGGGAGGACACCGCCCCTGGAACAGGCCACCCTCTAGACACTCAGAGCCGTCTGACCAGCTCAATGAGCTGCTGGATGTTTTTGTTCTGGTTGGACAGGCCATTCCTGATGTTTTCCAACAGGCACCTCTTTAACTCAAAAATGGCCTCGCTGTACCCCAAGCTCACCGCGGCCATGGGAGGCACCCCGTGCCACAGGCCAGGGATGTGCCAGATATGCTGCTTCTCGGGGTCACAAAAGGCCAGGTCCGCCAGCGTCCGGATGCCGCCGCCCTGTTTCTCCATTTGCGCAACGGCTCTGCTCACGTCAGCGGGCGGATCCAGGAGCAGCCTCCTCTCTCTCGGCCTGGGGCCGGGGGCACACGCGTCATGAACGTTCTGGTACACAAACTGATAGTTGGGCATGTGCCCCGTTTTTTCCAACCTCAGGAACGCGTGCAGAATGGCCGGTGGTATGTCCCTGGTCTCGGCTAAGCTGACCACGGTGACGTTGCTCAGCCCCATGAGCAACGTGGCCAGGGAGGCCTCCAGCTCGAACCTCTCCCCGGCCGAGGCCAGGGCCCCGCCTATGAGGCCCCCAGAGTCTATCACCAGGATGTGGTCACAGCCCAGGTCCTGGCTGAAGCTCTCGGCCACCGTGACGAGCTGCATGAAGGCCCCTCGAGGCCCACATCCCCGCCCCGTGGCAAAGCGCAGCCCAAACATGGTGTTGAGAAGCGTGGACTTGCCCGTGCCCGGCACGCCCAGCGCCGACAGGACCACCAGTCTCGACCTCCGCTCCAGGCGCACGTGCAGCTCCTTGAGGAGCCCCGTGACCCAGCGCAGGGGGGTGCTTAGCGTGCTCCCGTCAATCAGCTCCAAGGGAAGCCCCTTCAGCAGCAGCTCCAAGGCCAAGCCTGGGAAGTGGGCAAAGCGCCTCTGGCCGGCCGGCAGCTTCCCTGCCTCCACGAGGCAGCTCTCTGCCTCATAAAACTGTCCCATCTCCCGCAGGAAGTGCTCCACCCCCAGGGGCTCTGGCCAGAGCAGCTCGCTGAAGTCCACGACCCCACAGTGTTTCGGTCTCAGCGTGAGAGTGGTCTCCGGGGGCTGTCTCGGCCTCGGCTGGGCCACCCGGGCCAGCCCCCACTCCATCCACCTCAGGAAGTACTGCTTCTCGCCCAGGGAGGGGCCGCTGATGCCCGTGATGAACTCCTGCACGCCCCCGGCGGGCTCGTGGCCGTTCTGCTGTGCCCGCAGTTCCAGCAGCCTGTGCCTCAGCTCGGCCCTGCCCTTGTCCAGAGGGTCCCCGGCCCACTGGGCCTGGCACAGCTCCTTCTCCACCTGGGCCACCTTCCTCCACGGGTCCCCCTGCAGCCTCAGCTCGTCCCTGCGGTAGGCATCCAAGTCTTTCATTTTCCTGGTGATGCGCTCCATCCGGTCCTTGGCCTGCTGACACTCCTCGCAGTCCTCGTCCACCCGCAGCCCCAGCTTACGCGCCGCGTGGGCCATTTCCTCCAGAGACAGCCTCCTGCAGGGGGACCGGGCCACGTGAGCCACGATGGAGCGGACCCTGCGCACGAAGCCCGCGCTGTCGGTGCTGCTGACCTTCACCAGGACGTGCGAGTGGTCCATCTTCAGCACCGGGATGAGCCTGTTGAGGAACCGCAGGTTCGTGTTCCGCTTCCCGCGGTACGGGCTCAAGATGAAGTAGTATCTCGTGGCCGACCCCTTCATGGAGTACAACAGCTTGTACTCCTTCTTGCTGATGTTGTCAGTCAAAATGAACACGGCGGACGACACTTCGGTCAACAGCTTAAACTGCAGCCAGTGAGACCCGATGTCACCTCTCAGGTTCAGAAAGGCCACGGGCTCGGGGAAAATGTCCAGGTCCTCCCTGCCACTGGGAAGAAACCAGGAGGCTTCCACCAGCCCGTCTGCGATCTCCCGAGGGTTGGTGCCCACGTTCAGATCGCGGTGCCAGAAGCAGTCCCGCGGCCTGTGGCCTGGGCTGAGCACGGCGTTGAGGAGCTGGGACTTGGAGTTGCTGCTGACCTCCATGCGCACGAAGGCGAAGGCGGGCGCCCGTGACAGCACCGCACTGTCTTCTCGGAGGCTGCCCACCCCCCGTGAGGGCTGTGCCCACCACGTCCGCATGACGCCCCTCAGGGCCCATAGCAGAAACGTGTGGTGGTGGTTCTCCGAGTCGGGCAGGACGAGGGGGAGTGCAAACTGGCAGAGGGACATTTTCTGCACGATTTCTTGTTGTAGGAAACTGTCCGAGGACAGCAGAAGGGCACAGAGGAGGTCCAAGGGGTTCACGGGCGTGTCGGGCGTTGGCAGCTCAGAGAAGGAATAGATGTCCGCGGAGATGTCGTCGGCCGCGTCCCAGTAGATGATCTCCTCTTCCATCTGGCTCTCCTTCTCCGCGGGCCTGGCGTCCGGGGGCGCGTCCAGCACCATGGTGGTGTTCCTGGCTTCAGCGTTGAGGGCCTGCAGCTTCCTGAGGAAATTCCAGGGCAAATCCTTGGGAGCTTGAGGGGCCCAGTTCTTCATGCTGTCACTGCTGATCTGCAGGGAGTCCTGGAGGCTGAGCTTCTGGGCCTGGTAGGTCTCCAGCCCCAAAAGAGACAGCATTTCCTGCAGCCTGCTCCTCTCCACTATGGGGGGAAAAGAAGACGTCAGTGCTCACCCTGCGAGTCAGGGGCCCCAGCGGGAGGTGGGGAGGGAGACGGCCTCTCCTCCTTCAGAAAGCGGGGTGTGCGCGCCCTGCTCCTGCCTGAGACCAACAGGGGCAAACACAGCCAGACACGCGCGACGTTACAAAGGAGAGAGAAGAGGACACCCAGGGGCCACGTTTAAGGATTGGGAGATGCCGTGAAAAGGTCCACACGCCTGGTTTCTCTTGAAACCCATGGGACCCAGCTATGCTGGACCCACCGTAACCGTGTAGTGTGCACGGCCGTGCACCTGCACGTGGGCCACCCGCCCCTCCACGTGACCCCGTGGCCTGTCCCCACATCCTGGGCACAGCAGGAATTTTCCACAGGGGACACAATCCCCGAGTCACTCGGACTTTCTAGGTAACGTTCTCCTCTTTTTCACAAATAAACGGGGAGGATTTTTAAAAGAAACAGGAAGTTGTTACTAAATCCAGTCACAGAAATCATAGCTACACAACCATTTTGCAAATCTGAAGCCAATCACATGGTTTTCAGTGTTACCCTGGCAACATATTTGGTAGTGATGATCAGAAGCCTGCACTTGTTCAGGCCTTCCACCATCGTCCAATGCAATATGAATTCTTACGAGCACTAGGTTTTGCCCACTATCCCTGTCCTTGGCCGTGAGGTGTCACCAATTGTCCTACTGCATATAATTAGTATGATTTCAGTGTGAACTACATGAACAATGCAAATCCCACTGAGTTCCAGGATCTCCTCCATCATGAAGCTGCGTGTTCACATAAACCAGAGAGCAGTCGGGGACAGCCCCCCAGCGGGACCCAGCCCCGAGTCACAGGTGCCGAGCAGTTGGGGACAGCCCCACAGCGGGACCCAGCCCTGGGGCACAGGTGTCTCCTCCCCCGAGGGCCCTGCAGGTAGCCCATTCCGCTGGGCACAGACTGCAGAAACAAAAGAACTGCAGGGGGACACAGGGGGCAGAAACCCTTCACACTGCGGCTCAGGTTTCTGGGTGTTGCCTGAATGAACAGGGGTGTGGATTCTCTTACCCAGACATGAACAACTGGTTTCGTCCTTTAAGCAGCAGGCAGTGAAATGCGCTGGGGAAAAGCAAGAGCAAGAAACCTCCCGTGCACCCCTACCCGGTGTGGGGCCCGCGGCAGGATGGCTTCCCAAACCCGCCTGAGCTTTTAGAGTTACTTTGGGAACTCGTCAAAAATAAGAGTCCTGCGCTTGCCCCTGCTAGTCTCCGTCTCGGTCGCCATCCAGGGCCAGGGGCAAGAGGGGCTCTCACACAGCCGGGTCCTCCTGCGATGGGACAGGGAGCCGGAGCAGGGAAAATGCGTACCTGCTGGGAAGTCACTGTCCTGGGCCTCATTTGTACCATCTACAAAAGCAAAGGGAAATGAGGTGTCAGTCAAATCAGCGCCTTAGATCAACACAAGTTAGGCTAAACTGGGAACCTCCTTCTTCTAAGACAGTAACTTCTAACTGCTCACAATATAAAATCCCAGTCATGCCCCACTTGGTGCGCCCGTCCCCAGGCCGATCCCAACCCTGCTGTCTCCACCGCCACAACCAAACTCACAGTCATCTGGGTCCATGTCTCTCCATTCCAAATCTGGAAGAAAGCACACATATGTTGACTTTCGTCAGTAAGTTCGGACCTTTCTACCAAAAGTCTCGTGTTTATTTTTAGTGCTGGGATTGCCTTCAGTTCTTCCTATGTAAATTTCTGTTTTCCAACCCCAAATATGACACAGAGTAGTGGTAGCTACATACAAGATAGTGATTTGCTCTAGGATATATTCTTGTAAGAATTTACTGAAGTTTCTGAGAATAAAATACAAATAAGTTCATGAAATTTATATAGATTAATCTTTGATTTTAGAAACTATTTAAAACATAAGTCAATTGTAAATTCCTTGGCTCAATTTCAAGATTACCTTCTACAAACACCATTTTTATTTTTTTTAAAGATTACTTATTTATTTATTTGAGGGACACAGAGAGAGAGAGCAGGGGAGGAGCAGAGGGAGAGGGACAAGCAAGGCTCTGTGCTGAGCATGGAGTCCGACGTGGGGCTCGATCCCAGGACCCTGAGATCATGACCTGAGCCAAAATCAAGAGCTGGACGCTCAACTGACCTAGCCACCCAGCTGCCCCATTGTGCACTTTTTTATTGTTCTGTGCTCTGATCCAAGTAAGACTATCATCTAATCCAAAATTAAAATTACATTTTTCAAAGCTTATGAATTGAAAAAAGATTCTGATATTTTCAGATTAACTCCCCTCATGATTTCCGTATAGTTAGGTAGATAAACGTGACGTTTCAGTCTTTTCTGACGGTGTCTCTGGAGACAGACATGAAGAGCAGGGAAGAGAAACAGGAAATCATGAGAAATGATTCACACATGTCAAACCGCAGCGTTGAGCAATCAAAAGATTATTTTATCCAAAGTGGATAAAAGACATCAGAAGAATTTTTCCAAGGAATTCAAAATGCCCTCCGAGAAAATACAGCAGTTAAAGGAGGGGACAGGACATGGAGAAAAGTGCAGAATGGGCTGGAGGTGACTCAGAGCAGCTGTGAGCAGGGATCAAGGAGTAAACCTCAGAACCACAGAGGCTGGGGCCTCGCTTTGTTAGGGATGGGACACAGCTCTGACTGGACTGGACAGATTACAGATGACAGCAAGGAGGCCCACCGTGGCCAGAGGGCCCGCCTCTTGACCTGCAGGAGCCGCCGAGGGGCAGGAGAGCCTAGTGGCCCACAGGCGGAGACGGCTGGGAGCCCGGGTCAGCACCGGCGGGCAGCGGAGAAGGCAGCAGGCTTTCAGGCAGGGACGTGGCAGAAGGGTCCTCACCAGCACTTGCTCTCGGTCTCTCTCTGTGTGACGGTGGCCGTGCAGCGGGCTGAGTGCTGGTGGGCCTGTGGTTCGGGTTTGCACGTCCCTAGTGGCCATGATGCTGAGCAGCTTTGCAAGTGCTCACCGCCCATTCATACACTTTCTCTGGAGAAGTGTCCGCTCAAGTCCTTTGCCCATTTGTAAATCGCATTGGTTTGGTTGTGGAGTTTTAGGAGCTCTCCAGATATTCTGGATATTAATCCCTTGTCAGACGCATGGTTTGTAAAACTGTCTCCCATTCTGTGGCTGCCCTTTATGTCCCATGGAGAGTGTCCTCTGAGGCCCAAAATGTTAAACTTTTCACGTGGTCCCATTTGTCTCATTTTGTTCTTGTCAACTTTGTCTGCGGTGTCACCTCCAGGAAATCGCTGCCACACCCAAATGCGTGAAGCTTTTGCCCCATGTTTTCTTCCAAGCGTTTTATTGTTTTAGGTCTTGAATTTAGGATGACACTGATCCGTTTTGAGCTAACTTTTGTATACAGTGTTGGGTAAGGGTCTGACTTCATTATTTCGCATGTGAATGCCCAGCTTTCCCAACACCATGTGTTGAAAAGATTGTCTTGTACCCAGGGAATGTTCTTGGCACCCTTGACAAAAATCACCTGACCACACACAGGAGGGTTTATTTCTGGGCTACTTCTCTGGTCTAGATGTGTGTCTCGATGCCAGGACCACACTGTCTTGACTGTTGTAGCTCTGTAGGAGTTCTGTTCTTCCTCAAGACTGTCTTGGCTATTAACTGGCCCTTAAGATTCCATAGGAGGATGGGTTTTTCCTTTTCTGCAAAATGTCATTGGCTTTTTGATAGGGACTGCAATCAACCTGCACATCACTTTGGGTGATACTTTTTTTTTTTTTTTAAAGATTTTATTCATCCATATGACAGAGAGAGACAGCGAGAACAGGAACACAAGCAGGGGGAGCAGGAGAGGGAGAAGCAGGCTCCCCGCGGAGCAGGGAGCCCGATGTGGGACTTGATCCCAGGACCCTGGGATCATGACCTGAGCCGAAGGCAGACGCTTAACGACTGAGCCACCCAGGCGCCCTGGGTGATACATTTTAATGATATTAAGCCTTCCCATCCATGGACATGGGATGTGTTTCCATTTATTTATGTCTTCTTTAATTTCCGCAGCAATCTTTTGTAGTTTTATTGTATAATTCTTTCACCTCCTTGGTTAATTCTTAAGTATCTTATTCTTTTCAATGCTACTGTGAATGGAAAGGTTTTGTGATTTCCTCTTCCATGTGCTCACTACTCATGTATAGAAATGTAACTGATTTTTCGGTGTTGGCTTTGTATCCTTCTGCTTGGCTGAATTTATTTATTAGTTCTAACAGTTTTTTGTGAAATCTTTAGGATTTTCTACACACAAGATGACATCATCTGCAAACAGATCATTTTACCTCTTCCTTTCCAGTTTCGATGCCTTTTATTTCTTCTTCTCCCCCAGCTGCTCTGGCTGGGACTTCCAGTGCGAGGCTGGATGCGAGCAGTGACGTGAGCCTCCCAGTCTTGTTCCTGATCTTAGAGGAGAAGCTCAGTCTCGCACCACTGAGTATGACGTTTGCTGTGGGTGTCCATGTATGGTTTTTATCATGTGGAGGTGGTTTCCATCTACTCCTACTTTGTAGAGCGTTTTTATCAAGAAACGGTAGGGAATTTTGTCAAATGCTTTTTCTACGTCGACTGAGATCATCATTTTCCCCTTCATTTTGTTGACACCACTGAGGATTTTTACATCAATGATCCTAAAGGATACTGGTCTATAGTTTCCTTTTCTTTGTCTGACTTTGGTTATCAGGGTTGTGCTGGCCCCAAGAATGAGGTAGGAAGTTTTCCCTCCCTTTAGTTGTTTGAAAAAGTTTGAGAAGTAGTTCTTGAAATATTTGTCGAATTCACCAGTGAAGCCTTCAGGACCAGGGTTCTTCCTTGTCTGGAGACTTTTTACAGGTTTATTCAGATTGCTCATTTCTTTGTGATTCAGTCTTGGTAGATTTTGTGTTCCTAGGAATTTGTCCTTTTCATCCAGGCTAAGCAATTTTTTGGCATACAGTTGTTCACACTACTCTCTTATAATCCGTTTTATTTCTGTAGAATCGGTAGTAATGTCCCATGTCCACGTCAAGTGTACACTTGAGAAGAATGTGTGTGCCTGGGTGAAGTGTTCTGTGTGTCTCTTAGATGAGGACGGTTTACTGTGTTGTTTAAATCCTCTATTTCCTTTCTTGTCTTCTGTCTGGTTGTTCTATCCATTATTGTGAGTGGGGTATTAATGTTCCCAACTAATGCTGTAGAGCTGTCTATTTCTCCCTTCAATTCTATCAGTTTTTGTTTCAAATATTTTGATGGTCTGTCGTTGGATGTGTGAATGTTTAATTATATCTTCTCACTGTATTGAGACCTCTATGAATAAATAATGTCCTTGTCTGTCTCTCGTAACCTTTTTTATGTGGACTCTTCTGCCGGATATTAACACAGCCACTCCTGCTACCCACTGGTTACTGTCCGCATAGAGGATCCTTCTCCGTCCTTACACTCTCAACCTGTTTGTATCTTTGGATGTCAAGTGAGTCTCATGTAGACAGCATATAATTGGGTCCTGTTTTTTTTTTTTTAAAGATTTTATTTATTTATTTGAGACAGAGAGAATGAGAGAGAGAGCACATGAGAGGGGGGAGGGTCAGAGGGAGAAGCAGACTCCCTGCAGAGCAGGGAGCCCGATGCGGGACTCGATCCCGGGACTCCAGGATCATGACCTGAGCCGAAGGCAGTCGCTTAACCAACTGAGCCACCCAGGCGCCCAATTGGGTCCTGTTTTTATCCATTCTGCCCATCTCTGTCTTTTCACTAGAGACTGTAATCCCTTTACATTTAAAGTAATCACTGATAAGGAGGCACTTACTTCTGTCATTGTGCTATTTGTTTTCTGTATGCCCTATATACATACAAAAACTCTCTCCCTTTACATTCTATCCCCACCTCTCTCTGTGTGTTCATACCACAAAATCACATCTTCATACACTGAGTGCCCCAGAACATAAACTAATAATTCTTTCAAATGCATTAAGTCTCAGAAGTTACAAAAACAAGATTTGGAGTTACAAACCAAAGTTACGTGATACTGGATTTACATTTTTTATTTTTTCTTTAACTATTAGTCTCTTAAATCATGAAAAAAATCAGAAAGTACAGTTACGGACCATCATCAAAATTGCTAAATTAGCTGTTAGAACTGCCCAGGTATTTACCTTTACTGAGATCACTACTTCTCGATACAGCTTCAAGTCCCTGTCTAGTGCCCTTTCTTTCCACCCACAGGACTCCCTGGCGCATCTCCTGCAGGTGTAGTGGTCATCAACTCAGCTTTTATTCCCTGGGAATGTTTGTTTCTCCCTCACTTTGGAAGGACAGATTTGCTGGATACAGGATTCTTAGCTCACAATTTCTTCTTTCTTTTAGCACTTTAAATACATCTGCCCACTGTCTTCTGGCCTCTGAAGTTTCTGATGAGGAATCGAGAGACAATCTCGGAGGACCCCATGTACGGATGATCTGCTTTGCTGCTGCTTTCAAGACTCGTTCTTTGTCTTTTGGAAGTTTAATTACAACATGTCTCCATGTGGGTCTCTTCAAATTCATCTTACTTGGAGTCTGTTGAGCTTCTTGGACTTTATAGTCATGTCTCTTTAAGAAGTTCTCAGCCATTATTTCTTCAAATCTTCTCTTGCTCCTTTCTCTTTCTCTCTCTCCTCTTTCTGGGACGCCCACGAGTACCTACTGATGGCATCCCATAGGTGTCCTAGGCTCTGTTCGCTTTTCTTCCATCTTTCCTCTTTCTGGTCCTCAGCCTCCATATATTCCATTGTCCTGTCTTTAAGTTCACCGATTCTTTCTTCCACCTCCTCAGTCTGCTTTTGAACCCCATGAGTGAAGTTTTCATTCTGGTTACTGTACTATTCCTTTGGTTCCTTAGGCTTTCTAGCTCTTTACTGATATCACTGTTTGGTTCACACATCACGTTCTTGCCTTTCTCCGCATCTTCCTTTAGATTTTTCAGCATCTTTACTGTCTTAAAGTCTTCATCTAATACATCTGCTACCGTGTCTTTTCAGAGACAGTTTTGTTCAATTATTTTTTTTCCTTGAACGGGTCATACTTCCCTATTCCTGTATACCCTGTAATTTTCTCTGTTGCACACTGGACATTTGAATCTAATAATGTGGTTACTCTGGAAATCAGATTCCTCCCACCCTTCCCAGGGTTTGCTGCTTTTTGCTATGTTTTTTGTTTGCTGATTGTTGTAGGCTATCTCTGTGGCCAGGATCAAACTGAGGTGTACAGTTTAGGTCCTCTGAGGTCTTCTCTGAGACTTTCTTTGGGAACACACAATTACTTTCTAATTTTCCCATATATGCAGTTGTTTTGAATGTCCTAGTCTTTAATGTCTGCCTCCCCAAAGGGGAAAGAGCAAAAAGTTAATGGGAGGAAGGATGCTGGCCTTGAAATCCCCTGGAAGTCACTTCAGCTGAGGGGGAGGGGCTGGCAACAATGAGCAAAGGGTGACAATGGCACAGCAGTGGCCACCCGCCTCTGTGTCTGCACCTCTGTGATCAGAAGCGGTAACTGGCACAGCAGAGACCCCGGTACTCGGACAGGGTTCCTTCTGCCCCCTCTGGCTGGCACCTGCCGCTCATCTGGGAACGGAAGACAGGGAGCTGCTACAGTGCTAACAGGTGAAACTGACCAAGTTAGCTGGAAATTTATTCTGCAAGTCTTCCCCTGGAAGTTGCAAACCTCCGACTCCAGAGGTACAGGACAGTCCATGGAAAGATCCGGCCAGTGCAACTGTCCAAGCTGGGAGACGGATTCCTGGTGCTTTCCACTCTGCCATCTTCCCAGATTCCTCTTTAAATAGTTTTCTAAAATTTATTTTAAAGAATGAGCTATGAAAGGGGCACCTGGGTGGCTCAGCTGTTAAGCGTCTGCCTTCGGCTCAGGTCATGATCCCAGGGTCCTGGGATCGAGCCCCACATCAGGCTCCCTGCTCGGCGGGGAGTCTGCTTCTCCCTCTCCCACTCCCCCTGCCTGTGTTCCCTCTCTCGCTGAGTCTCTCTCTGTCAAATAAATAAATAAATAAAATCTTTAAAAAAAAAGAATGAGCTCTGAAGTAATTAGCATCCACAGACTTGAGATAAGGTAAATGAACTCTGTAGGAGGACTATACATAGCACAACTGATCTATGCTTTCAGAAAGGGGAGCATGGTTATCCCTGGCAGAGGCAGGTGGGGAGAGGGCTACTGGGGGGAAAGACGAGTTTGGCTCCTTCGTCTGGATGCTGCTCAAAATAGGTCCATTCCTCCTTGTGAAAATATATCAAGCTACACACTGGTAAAATGGGCACTTTTTCACAGGTATATCAAGCTTCGATACAACTTTTTTTTTAATCCTGTAAGTTGAAAAGTTTGCTTTCAGTCTTATTAATGAAACATGCTTAAGAGGAAGTCACATAGCTCAAGGAGGAAATTTTTAAAAAATAATTATGGGCGGCTTCTTCACTGGAGAGATAATAAAGACGGAACTCTGGGGAAGTACCAGAGTGTCTCTGAGCCTCAGTTTCCCCAAATGGAACAAAGGACCACTGATAACTAACCCCCTGGTCACAGCAGGCATCCAGGGAGCTGATTCCCTCCCCTGAGCCCACCCCAGCTGTCTTCCCAGTCTCTCTAGAGCAACACTCTAGTTCCAACAGAACTGCCTGTGAGAAAGGAAATGGCCTCCATCTGCACCGTCCAACGAGCACCCCTTGGCTGTGTGGCTCCTCAGCACGTGAAATACGACCAGGGGGACTCAGCAATGCAATTCTTAATCCTGTTTAAGTTTGCATCGTGTGCCTCATGGCTACAGTACTCAACAGCACAGTTCTAGATCCTGAGAAACAGAAGGGCTTTGGCCAATTACCGCTGGATCCCAGTTTTGCTGCGAGATTTGACCTGGTCATTGATGCCCCCCAGGGCCTACCTTCTAGAACGTGACTTCCACGGAGATGAGGGATCAGGGCCATTTTGTTCACTACTGTTTACTACATTCACAGTGCCCTACTACGGTACCCGCACGTTAAGTGTTCAGTAAATATTTGTTTAAATGAACAAAATAAGATAAAATCTGGTTAATCCCAACTTCTTTGCCTATTTTTGTGGGGTTATCTTTGCAGAACCCTACTAAATCCAATAGGACATATTTATTTTGAGAAGTGCCAAATTAATGATAGATCCAAAATGAGTTTCTAAGAGAAAAGATGTCTGGAGTGTGGCCACCACCCCTTAAAGCTGAAGTCATGAGGGGCAGCCACAGACCGGGCCCTCAGATCCACGGAGAGAGACTGAACCCACAGGAACCACGGCCAGGAAGACCACAAGCCCCAGTCTGCCCGGGACAGCTCCAGCTTATACCTATTGTCCCAACCAAACACTCAGGAGTGCCCGGGTCAGAAACTACACAGTCACCCTACGCCAGACCCAGGGTGGCGGATATGATGTGCTCGGATTGGGACGATATGTTCCTGGTAAACTGCGGGATAATCACCGGTGTGAAACTGAATCCTCTTTGGAATAGATGACGGAAGTTTAAAACACCCTGCGATGGAATCTTTTCATGAAAGGAAAAACATCAGCCTTAAGCCTCTGTATGTTTGAGGCCTGTGCTCGCCTGCCCCAGGCGTTCTGGAATCCAGAACCCACCACATGAGCTGCAGGGTTGGTGCAAGCCCCACATTACCTGCAATGGCCACCGCTGTTCGTCTCTCAGATGCTTTTATTTCTGGGGCCACTTCTCCCAACTCTGAACGTCTGAAATAATTGCAAAAGAAAATTCTAATTAAAATGATGAAATACTACTACAATGTGAATCTACCTATCAAGTTGGCTGCATATCAGAATCTCTTGGGGAGCCTTTTAAAACTACAAATCCTGGCCACACCCCGGACCACCGAAACCAGACCTAGGTGTCAGGCCTGGGTATCACCACTCTCAAGAGTGCCCTCGATGATTCCCATGTGCAGCCACCACGGAGAAGCGCCCCGTCTGGACAAACCGGCAGCACCCTCCACCACTGCGGCCAGAGCACAGGTTGCCATCCAAAAAGACATAAAAATATACATACCCTTTGACCAGTAATTCCACTTCTACCCTAAGGAAATAATTAAGATTTAGTTACAAAGATGTGGATACCAGCTTTACATAAAATAGTGAAAAACTGGATGCCATTTATTTATTTATTTATTTATTTATTTATTTATTTATTTATGGCTGCCCTTTAAAATCAAAGTCCAATTACAGAGAAGTACGGCACAGTCTTAGTCTGCAGTCATTAGAAAATAGTGTACAGATCTCATTTTGTGGACAAAAAGATGTTGGATGATGTTACAGAATGAGGTTAATGACGTGTATATTAGTGGGAGGAAATATGTGAATATTTACGGTAGGAACGTGCACAAGGCGGTGATGTCTTAATGAAATTGTGTGTATTTATGTGCTCACCTACGGGTATACAAGGAGCTCTAGAAGGATGCGCATCCAAAGTTAACAGTGTGGGCAGGGAGGGGTGATCCAGAGTTCTTTTAAGTGGATTTGGTAAATGTAGTCCATTTAAGAATAAACTATTTTAGGTTTATTATAGGAATGAGTAAATGTGTTGATTTTGTCAGGAGCCAGAGTTCCACTGTTGAAGAAGGGACATACAAATATGGAAAGAAGGTGGGGCGCCTGGGTGGCTCAGTCGTTAGGCATCTGCCTTCGGCTCAGGTCATGATCCCGAGGTCCTGGGATCGAGCCCCGCATCGGGCTCCCTGCTCGGCCGGAAGCCTGCTTCTCCCTCTCCCACTCCCCCTGCTTGTGTTCCCTCTCTCGCTGGTCTCTCTTTGTCAAATGAATAAATGAAGTCTTTAAAAAAATAATAAAAAATAAAAAGGCACAGTGGGGTGCCTGGTGGGCTCAGTGTTTAAGCGTCTCCCTTCGGCTCAGGTCATGGTCCCGGGGTCCTGGCATCGAGCCCCACATCAGGCACCCTGCTCTGTGGGAGGCCTGCTTCTCCCTCTCCCGCTCCCCCTGCTTGTGTTCCCTCTCTCACTGTCTCTCTGTGTCAAATAAATAAATAAAAATATTTTTTAAAAAAAGACAAAACAAGTTTTAAGTATAAAGATATTGATAAAATGAGGGGCGCCTGGGTGGCTGAGTCGGTTAAGCGTCTCCCTTCGGCTCAGGTCATGATCCCGGGGTCCTGGGATCGAGCCCCACATCGGGCACCCTGCTCTGCGGAGAGCCTGCTTCTCCCTCTCCCACTCCCCCTGCTTGTACTCGTTCTCTCTCTCTCTCAAATAAATTAATAAAATCTTAAAAAAAAACAAAAACAAAAAAATACGGAAAGAAGGAAGTTAGAGGAAGAACCCCCAGAGGTACACTGGGACTAGAGACGTGGCGTGAACACACGAGTTCCACACACATGCTTGTGTGCTCATGTATGTGTGCATTGCTAGCTACACGCATGCCTTTCCTGGCTCCGTCCACTGAATGGGCCAAAAACCAAAGATACCACACAGTACTGACAAGCACACCAAGCACCCTTTAACACCACGGCGCACTAAAAGACACCAGGTCGGGGCGCCTGGGTGGCTCAGTTGGTTAAGCGACTGCCTTCGGCTCAGGTTATGATCCTGGAGTCCCGGGATCGAGTCCCACATCGGGCTCCCTGCTCAGCAGGGAGTCTGCTTCTCCCTCTGACCCACTCCCCTCTCATGCTCTCTGTCTCTCATTCTCTCTCTCGCAAATAAAAAAAAAAAAAAAAAAAAAAAATTAAAAGACACCAGGTCTCCTTGGAGAAATGGCAGATGCCGGGACCAGGAGAGAACAAGAGGAGCCTGAGCATCTGATCTCAGAAAGTAAGGACATGCTCAAAGAACGCTAGGGCATGGGGCGCCTGGGGGGCTCAGTCGTTAAGCATCTGCCTTCAGCTCAGGTCATGATCCCGGGGTCCTGGGGATCTGGCTCCCTGCTCCTCCTGCTTGTGTTCCCTCTCTCGCTGTCTCTCTCTCTGTGTCAAATAAATTAAAAAAAAAAAAAAAAAAAAACAATGCTAAGGCGTGCCTCGGAACACGGGAACTGGCAAGTCCAGGGCCATCTGAGCACGGACACGATGAATACAGTGGAAAACCACTGAAAGCCAGGAATGAATGAGTCCATACAGGTAATACATAAGCAAACTGGGGGTGTGGGCAGAGGGCTCTTGCTTACAACCATCTGATGTGTAGGAGCGCTGCAGTGGGGCGGCGGCATTCTGCAACCATCTCAACTTCAGTGAAGACTGGTTCAGGCCAGAAATGCCAACAAGTGCCAACTCTGGGAAGACCGTGTGGATGGGGAACAAGGTATCTGCCCAGTTTCAACGTGGCTCCTCGCGGACTTCTCCTTAGGTGCCAGGGAGAAGAGCTGTAGCGATTATAACTTGGGCCCTCGGGGGATCCCATCGGGGACGGGTGACGCAGACAGCCCCTGTGTGCCCCAACTGCCCCACCCTGAGAGAGGGCACAGTGTCACCCTGCCCTGCCATGACCATGGGGACAAATCCAACATGTAAAGTTACCCGAGATCCCCAAGGACGAACGTTGCCGAGGGTCAGACAAGGATGGAGGAATGCTCCAGACTCAGGGTCTGAGGGTGCTGCGGCACCCAAGCCCACACTGGAGCCCCGGCTGGAAGGGGCCCCTCGGGGTGCAGGGGCAGAACTGAGACACAGGTGCTTTGGGCATTGGCGATGGTGCAGTGCTCTGCAGGAGGACACGGCAGGTGTGGGGATGGCGACACGTGCAACACACTCTCTAACGGTTAAGGAAACACGGCGCCTGGGGCGCCTGGGGGCTCAGATACTGAAGCGCCTGCCTTCGGCTCAGGTCATGATCCCGGGGTCCTGGGATCGAGCCCCGCGTCGGGCTCCTGGCTTGGCGGGGAGCCTGCTTCTCCCTCCCCCTCTGCCTCTCTCCCTGCTCACGCTCTCTCTCTGTCTCTGTATCTCTGTGTCTCAAATGAATAAATAAAAAATCTTAAAAAAAAAAAAGAAAAACAAGGCACGTGAGTGTCTGTGTGTGTGTGTACAGAAACACAAACAGCGAGAGGGGGAGATGAGAAATGAGAATATGAGTGAAAATATGGAAAAGAGAAGACTCTGGATAAGGAGCTCTAGGTACAAGTTATTTTAATAAAAAATGTAAAAATGTAACAGTGGTTACTTCTCGCTGGGTAGCAGGGACATGCATTTATTTTGTCCTATTTGAGTTTCTTTAAGCAGAAGTCTGTATTGATTAAGACTGAAAGAGCAATAAAAGCGACGCAGTGAGCAGGGTGTGGGTCACAGTAAGACATGCGGGTGCCCCGAGGAGACCAGATTCTCCGCAGCCTCTTCCAACACTGTGCTGACCCCGAACTCTATGAAGGACCTGCACAGACACAGCAATCCAGCTCCCCTTAATTCTCCAGCAAAACACATCAAATCCACCCTCCCAGAGGAAACTCTGGACCCCCCCGGTGGCTCTTCCAGCATGTTCTTTGGGGGCCTCATCCTCTGCCCGCTGTGGTCACTGTGTTCGTGGCTTTGAGCCCCTGTCCAGTGCAGAGCGCTACGCAATGCTCGGACTCTGACACTGATAAAAAATGAGAAATATTCATTGCTTTTGTAGTAAGGAAAAAAACCCTTAAAAATAGACAACACGGGGCGCCTGGGTGGCTCAGTTGTTAAGCATCTGCCTTCGGCTCAGGTCATGATCCCAGGGTCCTGGGATCGAGCCCCACATCGGGCTCCCTGCTCCGTGGGGAGCCTGCTTCTCCCTCTCCCACTCCCCCTGCTTGTGTTCCCTCTCTCACTGTGTCTCTGTCAAATAAATAAATAAAATCTTAAAAAAAAAAAAAAATAGACAACAACACAACAGGTTAAAACTAGTCCCCAGAGAAGCAGCCTGGCCTGCCGGCCGCGCACACAACACCCAAAATCCTGGGGGGTCGCCAGGCCTCCACCCACAGCACACAGCTCCCTGGACATGCGCTTGGGGCCGCTCCCAGGACAGGGGCTGAACCTCAACCCGTTCCTTCCCACACAGCAAAGCACGTAAGCGACATTATCGCAGGGATGACCTGAGCTTGTGCTGGCGTATAAACGTGTACATAGGAATCGGCCCGTCACCCTTGTCCACAAACGCCACGTGATCGCATCCCTGTGCTGTGAGCCACGGGCAGGGCCCAGCCTGGCAGGAGGCAGCAGAAGCTCAGCTAAGTCCCATGCTGCCTGCTTGACAGCTCCACCTGGAACGCTCGCGTGGCCTGAACTGCGCTCAGACCCGGACGCGGAAACCCTGACCCCCAGCATCACCGTACTTGGAGAGGGGCCTGTGACATTTGGTCTTTGTCTCCCTTTCTGGCACACAGCTCCTACACGTGAGTTTTGGAAAGCACCTAAGGATGGGGGGCGGGGGGCAGGTTGCCTGGGGAACCAACCGTGTGGTTGGAACTTTCAGTACCCCCCCACCGGTCCTGGCAGGGGAGAGGGGCTGGAGGTTGAACCAATCACCAATGGCCAATGAGTTAACCACGCATGCCTGTGTCGTGAACCCCCCATAAAACCCCGAGAGGACGGGGTTCTGAAGCTTCCAGGTCAGTGAACATGAGATCTCGGGAGAATGGCAGGCTCTGGAAGGGCTTGGAAGCTCCTTGCCCCTTCCTACAGACCCCGCCCTGGGCCCAGCTCCCCTCTGGCCATTCCTGAGTTACATCCTGTTATAATAGATGGGTCAACTAGTAAGGAAAATATTTCCTGGAGTTCTGTGAGTCACACCAGCAAATTCACGGAACCCAAGGAGGATCACAGAAACCTCTGATTTACAGCCGGTCGGCCCCACGCACAGGTGATGACCTGGACTCTTGCCACTGGGATCCTAGGCTGGTGCTGCTCACGGGACCCCCAGCCTGTCGCCCATCAGCCACAAGCATGGCAGCATCTGAAGTGGGGGTGGGAGCAGGCAGGAGGGGGGTCCCGCAGCACTGAACCTTGACCCCATGGGATCCGAGCCTGTCTCCAGGTGGACAGGGTCAGACACCCTGCTGGTGTCTCCGAATTCTTGGTGTGGAGGGAACCCACCCACACACAAC